ATCTTCAAGCTGTACAAGAAACAGTCATGGACGCTCGTGACCGCGATAAAAAAATGCAACTGAGTTATTGCAAATACAACAAAACTGCAAAAAACCGTTTCAAATATAAAAAATAGGTGTGTGGATGAAGTGCCTTTGCGCAGTATAAGAAATGTCTAAATTTCTACTACACACAGCCACGCCTACTTTGTCCCAGTGTGGAAATTCGAACGAAACGTGGTAATCGCATGAAACAATTTCGCCTGAAACGTCTAAAATGGATAGGAAGCTCGGGATCGTAACGACGTTGTTTCCGACGCGGCACAATTAGCAGCTCGGCGTTCACGGGCCAGGTGCGATCGGAAAAGGAAAGGCGGACCGTTACGTAGACGGCATAATTAGTATGACTCGCAGTCGTAACTCGGAGCGCGTAGACAGACACTCATCAAACGATGCTTGAACCCGTGTATGCGCGTACTTAAAACGCGTGCCGGTGTTCACAATCGGCCTGGAAACGTTTGCAGCCGCGCGGTTGCGTGCGGTGCCGCGGGTGGCAAGAGTGCCGTAAAGAGGGAAAGGCAAAAGTTTCTACGGCGGAAGTTATCGTCGAGCCATCGCGTTTTGATCATGCGTTCTCGGCCGACTGGCTCGCACCGCGTAATTAAAAGCGATCTTACGTCAAAAGAAATCGTTCGTCGCCCAAAGTGGAGGAACTTCAATTAACGTCAACGGAATTTAAATTAATACCCGCTCGGGGGAGGGAGGGTTGAAGCGCGTTATGGACACTGATGCGTGGACGTACTCGGTCGCTACGGTCCATCGAATTTCAAATCGATATTAGAATTCGGCATAGATAGCGACGGTTCAGTTACGTTATAGGTTAGGTTACTAGCATCAATTATTCTGTACAGAATTCACAACCTATACAATAGAAATATTTGATGAATGAAGATTGGGTCTTTAGGTTATGGGACTTCAATTTTTCATGCATATGGACCGCTTATTTTGAAAGTACAAGTCCATTTTTCGAGAAGGTTAGGTTAGGTTAGATTCATTTTTTGTTGTTTCGAGAAAATTAAAGATTAGGTTAGGTTAATTTTTTACATCGTTTAGGTGCACAGCCTGTAGATCCTTAAGACGTATTGTGATTGGTTTGATATATCAGGGAGGCGTGTCGTTGAAAGATGTCGACGACGCATATTTATTTAGGCAGAGTAATGAACTAGCAGCGTGTAAGCTGATTTCGAGCCGAGTAGCTGCCATTGTGAGCTTAACTGCGCTAAAACGCAGTCATTGTTTCGATGATCGTTGAAATATCGAGGACCCAGTGCGTGGAACGGAAACGCGCACGGCAGGAGGGCTCCTCGTAACAATTGATTTCATTACCGACGAATCGGCCCGCGACCATCGCGTCGCCCCGTTTATTCCGTTTCGTTGCGTCCTGCGACATTTACATATTTTAATAGGCGAGTGCCAGCGCTCGAGCATCTAGCTCGGCCTCGTTTACCGCAGCGCGGAGTAAAAGTTGCCTGTTTGAAATTTTGTTTAAACAAAAAAAAAAAAAAAAAACCGAGGGCCTTTAATTGTTTGCGCAGAGTGTAATTGGCTCGTTACCAACAAAGAGGCGTGCTGCCATTCCACCCTTCCCCCCCTCTCGTAGTCCTCGAAACGCTACATAATTTGTATGAATTTCAATTTACAATGTCGGTCATATTTTACTTTTGTACGCGTCTCGTTTGTTCAAAATTATTTTATTCACGCTCGCTTCGAAACTTCAACGTTTCGTAACTAGGATTTCACGGTGCTACCAACCGTTCGTACAAAACGCGCTGCGATTACAACGAAAGGAGCTAAACTTTTAATTGTTCCGGCTTTTTGATACAGGCACAAAACAGCCCTTAGTAATTGTGAGCAGAAAAAACTGTTTCGTTCAAACACTTTAATTGTTCGAGAAATAAAAACCAAAAAAAAAAAAAAAAAAATTGAAACTGCTAGTTGCGCGTTCGTTGGAATCCGTTTATACACGATTTCCAGCTTTTTTTTTTTTATTTAAATGTTTTTTTGTACAACGGAACAATGCGGCTTTTATTTGCCAGCGATTTATCGCTCGGTAACTGTCCAAAGGAATATTTCCAAAGGTTAAATAATCGAATCCGGACACGTGATCCGACGGGATAAAATATTCGTCCGGTCGAGAGAAATTAGGATCGGTTGACACGCCGCCGTCGGGATATACGCGTGCGGTCATTAGGAGCGTACGTCCCGGCATGAAATTGACTTGGCAGCGGGGAAAATGGAACGGACGCGTCCGCGTCCCGACGTCCAAACGGGGGGTTAATAGAACGCGAATGAAAGGCGCACCCTTATTTATCGACTTTCGTCCGTCTAATATGAAAAAGCTCCGTCGAAGGGACGGAGGCTATTGCTATGTAGCTCCTCTGGGCAATGGCTCACGATAAGACTCCCACGCTAACAATGATCAACGGATCGCTGCCAGGTGGATGGAAGTGAAATATCAGAGCTACCCAACGATCGTCTTTACCCCGTCGTTCGTCGTCCCGTTTCGACCATTTGTAACCTTCGTCGTAGATCGATCCAACTCGGTGAATATTATTCCCAATTCCCGGTGGTATAAAAGCCAGGCAAACCGTTAGAGATTGCAAATAAATAGCCTTTAAACGCGGCCATATTTCCGTAGACAGGGTGTTTAGATCTTTATACGTCGGGACCACTGGCGTTGGTTTAACTGTTGATTCCTCCGAACGATGATGCTCGTTCGAAAGCAATTCTTATTCAAGCATGTATAGGTTATGTACTTAAACGATGCTAGCATGTTGAATTTGGTTATCTGGAAATTTACCTAACCTAACGTTTGGGACTGACTGTATAGTCTTTTTCTTTTTCTTTTTTTATAACGGAAGGGAAATCTTTCAAAGATACCCTTCCCCCCTAGTGGGGGAGGAAGGGTTATGTGGGATTTCCACCCACTAAAACCCCTCCGGTGGCCGTCCTCTTCGCCCTTAGGGGGGCACTGGGATCGCTAATAAGCACACAACCGAAGTACAAATAGTACAAGTGACTGGAAAATTTACCTAACCTAACCTAACTAACTGACTGTATAGCCCTCTTTTTTTTAGGACGAAAGGGAAATCTTTCAAAAATATCCTTCCCCCCTAGTGGGAGGAAGGGTTATGTGGGATTTCCACCCACTAAAACCCCACCGGTGGCCGCCCTCTTCGCCCTTAGGGGGCACCAGGATCGCTAATAAGCACACAACCGAAGTACAAATAGTACAAGTGACTGGAAAATTTACCTAACCTAACCTAACCTAACTTTTGGGACTTCGTATAGCCAACACACCCTTAAAGATGAATATTTCGTAGGTCAATTATTATTTGCGTGAGACGTGGTTGATTAGGCTATTCGTCCGGGTGACGACTGACGAGCATAATAGGCATCGGGGGTGGTTTTCAGTGAGAAAGTAAAAAAATAAGAAGGAACAAAAGCCGGGGCGAATCCGCGAGAAGCGAGTGAAAAGCTGTCAGCTTCAGGAATCCGCGTAGCAAGTACCTTACCGCGCGGGCATTGAACGAGAATGACAAATTCGTCAATACCGTTCTAGCATCGACAAACGCGTCCTCGAAATTCTTTATTTTTAAGTATTTCGCTTTTCATTCGTACAGAGAGCCGAACGCTCTCGAAAGCTTGTCAGCTATGGGGATCTTGAAATACCGGATCCGTCGTCGCCGTCGTCGTCGTCGTCGTCGATTCGATCGATTCGCCGTTGTAGATTTTCGCGTACGCCTCTCTTCGTTTTTTCCACGCGCGATAATAGCAGGGGGGGGACGAGTGTTCGGCGATGATTCCGTCCCCGGTTAAATAGCGGCGATTATTTTAAGATCGCCAACGGACAATAAAAGATAAACGCGGGTTTCCCGCACTTACCTAAGCCGTTACCGAAACGCCGCAGTCACAAACTGCGCGAAAGTATTCGCGAAACCATCTAATGGAACTGCGAGAACAGTTTTACCAGTTGAAACCACTGTTTTCACGCGCTGAAACATCCTATTATGTCCCACGTAACGGCGAAATAGTGCATTGACAAAATCGTGGAAAAGCGAATACAAACACGTCTCTTATTGAGATATCACATAAGAAAAATGGAACATCTGTTCTTTCTCTTATTCTTTGATTCATATCGTGTCTAAAAACGCAAGAATAGTCACATTATTAACGTTTTTCGTATTTGGGACGTTCAAAAGTGGCGCGCAACGGCGCCTGTCACGTGATTGGCCATGCGGCTGGTCATGTGACCGACTGCCATTACGCAACCGCCGAATTCCCACTTTACAACATTCTCTCCTGCAGAAGTCGTCGAAATTTGGAGTAATTGTTAATCAATTTGTGAAATATTGTATGTTAAGTCATTAAACTATACGGGAATTAGAAATGTTTCGTTTCCTGTAAAGTGATTTACGAGAATAAAGAAACGAACGCGTAGTAGTTCTAAGGAGTTTCGTTGCTCCGACGAGATTCGAAATTCGAAACGGAAAAATAATGAAAAAGGGGGCGAAATTTTTACCGCTTAGGGTCCCCACTGGTTTTAATTCGCCGCTGCCTAAAATGTATAAATTTTATCTATAAATATCGACTACTTGTTAGTATGT